ATTTGATTTATATCTTGTCACAAGTGATCTCCTCTTGTCCTCTTATCTGCTCTCCTGTCACTCTAAACCATTGAGTGTCATAAAGTAGAACTGACACTGCAACAGTCTAATGGACAACCTAAATTGTATTTGAATCTGGCTTTTGTTTAAAAAAAGAATCCTGTTCTGTCCTTATCTACCCTGTTCTATACTGGCCACGACTTCAGTTGGTCACTTAATATCGAACTTCGTACAATTCTTCAGTAGTTTTAATCCAAGCAGTAAATTGAGAACATTCAGCACACTCAACGTGACCCAGTGTGTCAGATGCAGTCCAAGCAAATGCCATGAGTTTCAGGAATAACTGTCTATGTCTGGCAAAGATGAAGTGCAGACTTCTCTGATGACGTTGCCGTCGGCTGGACCGGGGATTCCACTCTGTAGGCTAACGCCAGGAAGAAACAGCTTGTTGTGGGTGAAGTGAGAAAAACATATCTTCTTCATAGCACAGGCGCTCAGCTCTGTAAACTGAACCCCCCCTTGCCTCGAGTCTTCACCCTCCAGTGCTGTCCTCATATACAACTGTTCCCTATCTGCACTTAAATGTGTCTTGACATCTGCACTTTTAACAGTCCTTGTGGCCATGTTTTTTAGTTTCACACAGATGGCTAAAAATAACCCCGCAAGATACTCCAGGAGGGGACGCACAGCTGAGAGGGGCACTTGACTGAACTGTAGGGGTGTGTATGTTTGCAAGTAGTGTTTGCGTGTGCTCACACTTGCTTAAACAAATGTGTTAGTGACACTTGAGATAATGCTAGATCTCTAGTGTCATTTCTTGACCTTAAAATGCGTGAAATCAAAAAGGCAAAGGGCAGAAAAGCAAAAGATGATACCCTTTCTGCTTTTTAATCTACTCACTTTTTAAATCTGACATATACAATTTTTATATGCGAATGCAGCAACTGTCCCCAGTTAGCCACTGTGGGCGATTCTTTGTTCAGAAAACAACAAAGCACAGTGCCTGAAGCAAAAGAGGGTTTTGGCTCCACAAAGCCAGCATGACAGAAGAAGTTCACACACTTGAACAAAACTAAACCCAAAAAATCGTTAAACTACTCAGTAATGAAAGACAGGTGTGGATAGAAATACAAATGGTTTCTAGCAATGTGAAATAAACACAGTATAATACAGCATCTTGATAACTGTGGTGTACACAGTGTATGTTTATGTCCTTTCTAACCTTGTTACTCTTTTGCATGTATTATATTGAGAACTGTATCTGTTGAACTAAAAATATGATACAGATTGGGGGGAAACAGCTGATGGGGGCGTAGGGCTCTGGAAGCTCTGGAAGGTTCTCACAGCTGTTAACACTGATCAGCCCCTCAGCTATTTAGTTTATTTAAGCCTACTGATGCATGTAGACCCCAAGAAACTCTGATGAGCTTTACATCAACTAATAAGCTTTATGTTTGATGTTTGATGACGTTTAAAGTCATGTTTCATAATTACAGAAAATGTACTAGTGTTAAGGTTGTTTAAGGAGGTATTCAGTTGTGACCAAGAAAAGGAAATGAAAGAGTAGGAGGTGGGAGTAGGTGGTTGTCAGGCTGATGTAAAAAGTGAATACATATAAACACTCTTTCAACAATACACATGTACACAGCTTTTCTCCATCATTATAAAACATTAGATAAGAAAAGCTAGCTTATGTTTGGGTTTTTTCTTGACAGCTCTTTGGAAAGCTTTAAAAGCAACATATGCTGAGGAAGCCACTGACCTGTTTTAACCAGTGTAAAGTGGTAATGAAGGGGCGAATTCAGGTACAGATAGGTTGTGAAAGTTAGTTATTTAAAACTGTAACTCTCCCCATTATAAGTCTCTTTGGTTTTTAGCCATGCTAGCAGCTTTAGGCCTTCCAGTGTTGGTCTACGGTCTGTTGGTTGTTTCCACCATTGTTTCAGACTGAAATATCTCAGCAGCTATTGGATGGATCGCCATAAAATTGTATTTTTGACATTCATGTTTCCCAGAGGACGCATTCTACTAATTTCCCTCCACCATGAGATTGTTGTTGTGGTTTTGAATGAAATATCTCAACAAGTATTGAATGGATTGTCATGAAATTAGGTGAATTTGTGTTTTCCCTAGGATAGTTTGTAATAACTCTGGTGATCCACTGACTTTTTATCTTTTAGCAGGTCTTGTACCATCATCAGGTCAACATTTAATTTGTTAAACACCTGAAAAACCTCCACTTTCCACCAGCTCTACTTTGTGTTTTGTGCTAATTAGAAAATTGTAGCTTACTAAATTGCTAAGTTAGTCGAGTCAACATGTTAAACATTGTCAGCATGTTAGCATTGTTAGCACACAAACACAAAAAAGACATTACAGTGTTCTCCGTAGAAGAGATGGAGGATCAAGATAACCATGATTAAAGTTGCAGAAGTATAGTATAGTAATTATCTATTAGGTAATTAATACAATTATGAAGAGAAGCGAAAGTATTGTAGTATCTCTGTGAACGAAATACCAGTAGAATTTTTGATTTTTATGCATGAAGGGACTTGCATACAGAAATACAGAAATACTTGAAAATAAAGCCTGTGAAGGAGCCAGAATTCTGAAGAGCTGGCTAAGATATGAAACAGCTGGCTCAGTTACAGAGCGGTTACACACTGAAATATTTCTTGCTCATTTATAATAAATCAAGAAAATCTTATCTTGCCAAATTTTGGCATCTATAAGAACAACTCCTGAGGAAATACAGAGAGAATGAGGGATATCAGATTCTTATATAACGTGTTGTAGGGATGGTTTAATCATAAGTGCTGTACATAAATATAGTCTGCCATCGGGCCATAGTAAGTGAAGAAGAGTGATAGTGAACGTAGGAGGGGGAATAAAATCATGAGGGAGGAAGGGCAACTCAGAGTCAAAGAGAAAAAGAGGAGGAGAGAGCAAGTCCAAAGGGATAAAAAAAACCATCCCTTAGAGCAGGAAAAGAAAGGAAGGTGAGATAGGAGGCAGGGGGATGATAGTAGGTGACAGGGTGAATGAAGAGTGACTGGGTTGCTGGCTGTGTGGATGAAGAAAAGGAGGCGGAAAGGTGGAGCGAGGGTTGCTGGGAGAAAACTTGAAATTGGAATAGAAGAGATTTAGCAGGTCAAGAGGAGGTTGGGAAGAAACAGGAACAAGAGAAAGTGGAGTAATTAAAGCTAAATGGAATGCATCAGGAAAAAAACACACAGAGGTGAGAGGAGGTGAAGGAAGTGTGCCAACAGGGAATACAGAACTCAGTGTAGTATCTGAATCACTAACCCATGTCTCCCATCGCTTCTGATATGTTTTCTTTGACTTAATTCAGTGTATGAGTTGTTCTTTTCACTCAGTTGGTACACACTGCACACACTTTGGAACTTGTCACTGCCTCCCAGGCCAAACATAGGTCAACTCTACCTGCATACAAATGTGTCTGTTGGTCTGCTGCACCGGTGTCAAATTTTTGCTCCACGCTTACAGCAATCGTTTGTGAAATCCTACACGGTCACACAGAATAGATGTAAGGTGAATCATTTTGAAGAGCTTCAATAGCTTTAAAAAACGGAAAACCCAGGCGAAAAGACTGCGATGGATTTGCAGCCAAATATAGCAAATGCTTTATTTTAAAATTAACTCTGTCTGTTCTAATCCCTTTCCGTCCCTTTAGGGACCTTAAGGGGTCATATATGCTGTAGACGGGGTATAATACCTAACAGGGATTTAAAAAGTCCATAATTACCTATTTCACATGGAGTAGGGAGATGGAGTTTCTTGGAGTACAGAAATAACTCATAATAATTTCTCATTTCTTCCGATCTTTGTAAAGCTTCTTTCTTTTTAGACTGTGTCTGAGATGCCATAGTTTTTGGTGTTGTATTGGATTGCATCACATTGTAAGGTCTTCCCCTATATTTTGATACAAGTGACAGCATGGTAGCAACAGTATTGTGCACAATAAGCCACCTTATCTATAATGTATTTCTCCATTCAGTTATTCTACTGTTTATTGGTGCATAAAGAAGGTCAAACTCACGTCTGGTTTTGTCACTTGCATTCTAATGCTGAGAATTTTTTCCTCTTTCAGCTTCTGCAGTTCACTGTGTGATTCTATTAAGCAGAGACACAAGGCAGGCTGTGCTAATGCCTCTTTATACTGATTCATTCCTGATCTCGTCCAGGGCGAGTGCAGTGCACGGTGGAATACATTACTGCAAGTAAAGCTACTTAGAACTGCTCCATAATACCCAAGATCTCATTCCTGGTGTGTGTTTGGGTTTTAATGTGTTTGTGTGTGAGATGGAAGGAACTGGATCTGTGTGTGTGTGTGTGTGTGTGTGTGTGTGTCTGTGTGTCTGTGTGTGTGTGTGTGTGTGTGTTTGTTTGTATATATGCATTTAGAACATGGTTATATCCAGTTCCTTGTCACTTTAGAGTCAAAGCCCTTGTGTCAGAGCCACTGCTACAGAAAAAATAATGGATGTGACTGAAATCATGGCTGCTAATTGTGTGTACACATGTGTATGTGTCTACATGTATGCATTATTGTGTATTTGCATATCTGGAACATGTGTGTATGTGTATGTGGGAAACACAGTGCCTAGGAGGGAAACCTTAAGAGGGTCAGCGCCTTCAGAACAGTTCTCGTCATCTTCATCCTCAGTGTACACTGGCTCTATCCCTGTAATTGCAAAACGCTGTTGTTGTAAGCAGTGTGTAAGCGCAGCACACATGTCACTGAAGTTGATGTATATTTCATGGAGCTGCTATATGCACTCAGCTGTGTGCAAATGTGTGTGCATATAGGTGGACTGCTTTATGTACACAGTCTCATGGTGATATAGTCTATTTTTCCTTTCTCCCCTCCCCTTTTCTCCACATTTTCTCTTTTCTTTCCTTCTTCCCTCTTCTTTTTCCTCATCTGTCCCCTATTTTTCGATGTCTGATTGCCCCCCTGTCCCCCTCTCTCTACCCAGGTGCTGTCTCTGGGTGCAGATGTGTTGCCAGAGTACAAACTCCAGGCTCCTCGCATCCACAAGTGGACGGTGTTGCACTACAGCCCCTTCAAGGCGGTGTGGGACTGGCTCATCCTGCTGCTGGTCATCTACACCGCCATCCTGACACCCTACTCAGCCGCATTCCTCCTCAACGACCAGGTGGGGTCTCATCTAGGAATAGAATCATTAATCTGCCTGCTGTCAAGTCAAGTCAGTGTCATTTATGTTGCCCAGTCACAAATCACAAAAGTGCTTTGAAGGACTTTACATCTACAGTATTCAACATACAGTCCTTAGACTTCGTGTTTGATTGCTCCAGCACTAAAACACAATATTGTATAGTTACAAGTTTGACTACACTTTTATCATCATAGATCCATGAGAATACAATGTCTAATGGGTCTCAAATAAGTATTAAATACACAAATACACATATTCACACTTCTGCACATATTCACACACCCCTCTTTATCCAACCATTCCCCCCTATGTGGCTCTCTTTTTTCTTTGTGCTTACAAAACAATCAAACAGCTAAACTACATGCTAAAGTTCCTGCATATATATAATTTCAACCTCACAAAGTGTTCCATCAAACATGTTTCCCTCATTTTTGTAACACTAGCTAATTTCACTAGTCTGGTCTCCGATTCTTACAGTAAGGTAATTCCCCGGTGCAAGTGCCTTGGTCCTGACGTTTACTAACAAAATAAAATATATAATCGAAATGATTTCTTATGTGGGGAAATTCACTCTCCAAAAACCCAACACTTTTTGCTATTGTTATCTGTTTTCCTAGAAATACAAGGGTCTGACTGATAACTGGAAAACAATCTTAACAATCATTTATTTATTTTATTTATTTTTCTAGAGATTGTGGAATTTCTCAAACTGAATAAATGCCACACATATTAACACAAAACTGCTGCAAAAAAATGATGTTGCTATGTAAATGGAAGAGTAATAATTTTAGTTGTTGGGACTACTTGTGTAATTTCACAATAAAGGGCTATACCTGTGTCTAAACACTTTTATTGTGAACACATTTAGTAAATGTTGAGTTAGTATCAACAGTAGTTGAAGCATTAACATTTTCTTTCAACAGCAAATGAACAGAGCAGAACAGAAAGTGCTCCCACTGTGAGAACATTGTTTGACTGACAGAACGTCTTCTGGCAAACAGTGATAAATAAAGTAATATTTCACACAGGATTTCCAAAGTGCTGAATAAATGTAGATAGAGTTTCTCAGGACAGTGTGTTCCTTGTAAAATAAAAGCTATTATAGCTTTTGTTTACTCCTGATTTGTGTGCTGAAGCACCTGGATCCTGCTGAAAGCCCTGTTTTTGTGTCACTTCTTCATGTTGTGTCTACAAATGTATGCAAATGATCTTGACACCCTTAATACTAATCCATTTGAAGGAGGTAATCACACACAACTATTTTTTAGAGCATTAGATTATAATTCTCTTCTCCCGTCTTTTGCTCTTCTGTATTCTCCCTTTCACATCTCTCTGTTCTCTTCTGACTTCTCAGGAAGAGGTAGCCATGCAGAACTGTGGTTACTCCTGCTCTCCTCTCAATGTGGTGGACCTCATAGTGGATATCATGTTCATTATTGACATCCTCATCAACTTCAGGTCAGACTTTAGACACATCTATATACAGTGTACCAGTAATAGTAACAATAGCAGCAGTGTTATCCGTTCTAGTAGAAACAGTTGTAGCAGTAGTCGAATTAGGCGTAGTAAATACAATGCAGTGCTCTGTCCTCATTAATCTGTTGTTAGTGTTGGTTGTAAAAGAAGAAACTCTGGTAGTAGCATTGGTAAAAAAGAAGTTGCTGTCAGTAAATTTACTATAATCTGTACTCTTCCTCCCAGGACAACATATGTGAACTCTAATGATGAGGTGGTGAGCCACCCGGTGCGTATCGCCGTGCACTACTTCAAAGGCTGGTTCCTCATCGACATGGTGGCTGCTATTCCCTTCGACCTGCTCATCTACCGCAACGGAGAGGAGGTAGGCCATGATGGAGGGAGGGAGAGACGGTTGGCTTATATATGTTTTATATAGTGCAGAGAAGGTGTGAGGAAAGGACGAGACAAGTGTCAGGGAGAACAAGGGATAAAGAGAGCAAGAGAGAAATGTTGCTGCATTGACATCGTGTCTGCCATAAAGAGGAGATGAGGAACTGAAATGTACAAAGAGGGAAGAGAAAGAGAGGTAGGCAGGGAGATGGAAGATGGGGAATATGAGGAAGACAGAGAGAGGCAGATGTGGTGTAGTTTTTGTCTCATAATTTAATTATCTCCATGGGAAAGTTGATTTTTGCAGTTAGCTGTGATGGAGCATCAAAATAACATTACTCAGTGCAGTGTACAAATGCTAATGCTAGTGAGAAAATGAGTAAATCACTAAAGAATTATATTGATTGATTATATTGATTTTGTATAATTGTTTAATTATTTAAAGGTACAATATAGAATTTTCAGAAAATCCTTCTTATGAATGACACCGGTGGCCTTAAAGTGAGCGTGAGTGAGTGAGCCTCCACAGCCTCCGAGGCCGTTGAAGGCCAGTTTCATGACATGGAATACAGTACAGAGGTGATTCACAGCTAGTCCAACCACGAATCTGACTCTGGGGACGAGAAAAGGGCGTGTTCAGGCGGGGACAGGAGAGGCATCAGTCAGCACTTCAACGTCACATCCTTTGGATTCTCCGAGAAAAACTGTTCAGAGTCCTTTACATAGAAGTCAGTCTACAGGTTGTTATAAGTAACTGAGAAACCAGGAAAGGTCTCATTTTTTAAGTTACAATACAGTCTCTTCAAACAGTGGAAATACAATACAAATACAAAGCCATTCATACACTTAAATGATTTGTTAAGGAAATGTACCGAACATTGTTTGCTTCAAGCTTCTCCAGTGTGAGGATTTGTTATTTGTCTCTGTTTAACAAAGTCACAACAGACATATAACAACTGTTCGTGCATATAGGTGGACAGACTGAGTAGCACTCTGCATGATGAAACAGGATTTGGGTGTAAATTTGAGTCTTTAAGGTTCTATGGTTTGCTGAACAGTAGGAGAGTGATGTGATGTGATGGAGGCGTTGGCTGGAGAATTTAAGGAAGTGGGAGGTGGGTGTCTGGAGGAAGAGGTGGGAGTTATAGGAAGAGGGAGTGAGTGAGTGAGTTCCACTGTAGGTTGCTGAAGCCCTCTGATGATACTTCCCACATAATGAAGATGAAAACCACCAATCACTCCACACAGCAGCTCAGCCCAGCGTAATTCTATTGACAGAGTAAGCGGTACTTGAAATGCATCTAAGTAATGTGAAGCATGTAAGTTATAAAAAATAAGTTATGTATTGGGATTAAGCCACCCAACAAGCCAATAATGATGAATGTGGAAACTCCCCAACATTCAAATACAGCCTGGGGAGAGCTTTGCCAAGGTTCACTTCATTGATGCTGTCTGGAAGGGGCCACAGAGCCAAGAAAGTGGAGATTTTCCTCAGCAGACATCAATTATTTACTGTGAGGACACGCACATAATCACACACACACGCGCACACACACACACACAGAGCAGGACTAGGCTTGCTGCCAGCGCAGTAATCTGCCTGTTATTTATTTGTTGTATGGACACGGAGGGGGCCAGCTGAATACAAGTAGAAAAGAGAGGGAGTAGACAGCCCACAGTAATGAAAGGGAGTCAGGATTTACCACCTCCACAACAGTGAATCACATCGGGACAAGGCCACTGCTGCTGCTGTGTGTGTGTGTGTGTGTGTGTGTGTGTGTGTGTGTGTGTGTGTGTGTGTGTGTGTGTGTGTGTGTGTGTGTGTGTGTGTGTGTGTGTGTGTGTGTGTGTGTGTGTGTGTGTGTGTGTGTGTGTGTGTGTGTGTGTGTGTGTGTGTGTGTGTGTCAGGATGACAGGATGACAGGATGACAGCAGGTGGGAACGCCGTGAGGAGATATCAGAGCCAAGGGACTTTGTTTTCTGCCATGCTTTACAACACCTTATCTCTGCTTTTCTCCATCTCTCCCACTCCCATCAGACCACCACTTTGATTGGTCTGCTGAAAACTGCGCGTCTCCTGCGATTGGTGCGTGTGGCCAGGAAGCTGGACCGCTACTCGGAGTATGGCGCAGCTGTCCTCTTCCTCCTCATGTGCACCTTCGCCCTCATCGCTCACTGGCTGGCCTGCATCTGGTACATTGCCATAAGACTCAGATAAAGGAGTAATGTGGGAATAATCATGTCTCTGTCTGCATACACCAAAGCTGCTATTATATGGGCGCTGGAGTCACAGTATCGTCAATACAATATATTAGTGCTGTCAAACGATTAAAATATTGAATTGCGATTAATCGCATTAATGTCATAGTTAACTCGCAATTAATTGTAATTAATCGCACATTTTTATCTATTCTAAATGTCCCTTGATTTATTTTTGTCCCATTATTTTTTCTCATTTTAATACTCTTATCAACACGGAAAAGTGGATCAGCTTGCTTTGTGCAAATGTTGTTTTTATTGAAAAATCATCCATTGTCGCCTGGCTTTGTCGAGGGGGTGGAGAGTTCGCATCAGCTGTGTGTTTGGCCATCAAGTGGTATTTCAGACTGGACGTGCTGCGATGATAGCTCACAACGACAAAACACACAGATCACTTTGGTCTTGTCAATGGAACCATTTGGTTCCACCAAAACCACTTTTTAAAAGTAAACTTTACAACGTTAACGTCTTAACGCCGTTAATAACATATTTAAGTGACAGCACTACAATATATGTAATTATTAAGATTCTTGTGCACAGAGGTGTACTGTAGGCGTCTTACTCTAAGTCAAATTGATTCGACAGAAAATTGATATTTGAACAGTTTCAAAATTTGTAATTTTTCTATTAAGAGTTTGAAAACCAATTTAGTGTGATTATCTACTGTAGCAGCATTGTTCTAAGTATTACTAACTCTTACATATAGACTGTACATTCATATAACTGTTATTTTTCCAAGGTATGCCATCGGTAGCGTAGAGAGGAATGGTTCGATTGGTTGGCTTCACACGCTGGGGGACCAACTGGGAAAACACTTCAACGACTCCATCCCAGGTACTGAGAGGATTAATAATGTAGTTACACTGGTTAGAAATGTCTGTCTGTGACAGTTTGCACTGGTCAGCTCAGTTTTAAAACACATGCTTCATAAATATCAAATATGTGCTTTTTGATTTAATTGTGGAATAATCATCAGTGACCATCTGTCATGCTGTTAAACAAAAAATGTTTTTACAATATTTGTGTAACATTTCCTCACCAGGTTCGGGACCCTCCATCAAAGACAAGTACGTCACAGCTCTGTACTTCACCTTCAGCAGTCTGACCAGTGTGGGATTTGGAAACGTGTCGCCAAACACTAACTCTGAGAAGATCTTCTCCATCTGCGTCATGCTTATAGGATGTAAGTACTGATACTATGGTAAAAGTAACTCTTCCTTCTTTTCAGACCTGGGTGGAGAAAGTGCTGACAACAGCTGATACAGGCTGGAAAAAAACAATAGACACTCCATGTCCTCCTCCTGTACTTTAACGACCGATGTCAGATCAGATCTGGCTGCGTGGCGTTAAGCCATCACAGCTGCTGGAGATGATCCGCTGCCATTCTAGCCGGTGTAACAAGGTCCACCAGCCCCAGAACCAAAGCATCTCACAGCTCATTTCTCTACTCCACCGTCTATTTTGAATGTTGGGAAGTTTTAAATCACTAAGATGTAGTTCTTACCTATTTTTATGTACTATTCTTCTTACAGTTACAGCAGCTGGACAGAGCTATAGATCATACTTTTCATTCTGAAAGCATATCACTTAATGATTTATTAATAAAATCCATCAGCGGGGATTGTAATATCCCCTCTCATGCTTATCAACTCAGCTTCCTCTCTGCAGAGTAATTACCTCTGCAGGCTGCCAGAGCCCTGGACCTCATTGAGCAGGCAAACCATAAGATGAGAAAATAATTATGAAATTTAAAAGTACTTCTCAGTCTATAAAGTTTGTTTATTGCATGCAAGTACTCATTATTTTGTATTGTGTTTGTAAAATAAATTGAAAAAAGCAATATATATTGTACTGTAGTTACAGTTAAACAAGGTTAAAATCAAATACTTGGAGGCACTTATTCAACAAGGCCCTTTTTTGTTTTCATTTTTAGTTTGGCTGCGTTCCTCCTGCAGGCAGTGTGACATTTGGTTGGCCAGAAACTGACCTGAGGCTTGGAAAATGTCTGTTATTGTAGTACAATTCTAGTAGTAGTATTCTGTTGCTGAGCGTTATAAAACATATTCACATAGAGGCAGGGATCAATTCTTTCCCTTGTGACACACACATGCGGAAATACACACACTCACTCACGCAAAGTTTTAGCAGTAGTTTTAGTGGGTGATGTGGACAGTGATGGGAGCTGACAGAGGTTGGGAGGTTAGCGGGATCCAACATGACAACAGGACAAAACAGGGAGGCTCACGAATGATACAACACAAAACGTTCTGTCCTCTACAGACCTGCTCTGTCTGTTCTGCAGCGGACTGGTGTCATGCTAAAAACTGATGTTTGAACTTAATTTAAATTTAAAGAGAACTTTTTTCTCATATTTAGATTTCAAACAATGTCTGTAAATGGTTCACACAGTATAGTAGAGGAGCAGTTGGCAGCTTGCAAGGCAGCCTCTGCCATCAGTGTGTGTGTGTGTGTGTGTGTGTGTGTGTGTGTGTGTGTGTGTGTGTGTGTGTGTGTGTGTGTGTGTGTGTGTGTGTTTGTGTGTGTGTGTATGTATGTGTTTGTGTGTGTGAGAATGTGTGAATGTGACATGTAGTGTAAAGTGCTTCGAGTGGTCAGAAAGGCACTTTGTAGTCCGTAAGTGCAATCCATCTATTTACCAATTTACTTGTCGTATGAATCAAATTAGTTAGTATATTCATATTCATGACCCAGTGGTTTTCTTGTTTGGTAGTAGTATTGAACTGCATTTGCAGTTCCGATTAGAATTCAATTTAAATTGGCTAGTGAGCCCAGTGTCCACATTGATATAATGTCAGTACTAACATCTCAAACCTATTAAAGAAAAGAATTACATTTTTGTAGTCTGTTTTAAGGGACTGGAAGAAGATTTTGTCTAGTCTCACTTAAAACAATATGCACATGCTCAGGCATGTACACTGATCCCCTTTTTGGATGCTGTGATCATTTCAATGCATTTAGGGTGTGTCTAACTCCTCTTTGCTCGTTAAATGGGCACAACGTAAAGACACTGTGAACTTGAAGTTGAAAAATGTGATTATTTCAGTGTTAGTCTTTGTGAGTCAATGAGCAGAGTGACTATTAGCAATATGGCTTCACATATTATTGTTAATGTAGATTAATAATTAGATTAGATTAAAGGTAGTTCATCCCACGCTTTTGCAGCCACAACTGTTACCTTTCCTGTTAGTCTTAGTGGCCCCTACAAAGACACTTATAATGTATATATCTGTACTTGCATACAGTGCAAATATCTTTTCTTCAACCCAGCTCTGCATACTAATACATTTTCATTATTCTTCATTATTATACCATCAGCTGTCTGAGCTCTCTCTCTTCTTTCCCTCTATCTTCTCCTTGCCTTTCTCCACTTACAGTATTTTTATCAAGCACATCATCCAAGGGTGTCAAGCTTAATAATATGTATTTTTTTCAGATGGAGAAGACAGTCAGCCAGAAATGTGTCAGGTCATATCAGTGTATCAAGTGCCTGTGTGTCCCTATATTCTCTGCTAATGTATATGCTTTTCTCTCGCTTCCTGCCTACTTCCCTCGTTTCCTGTCTCACCCTATGCCCGTCTCCCACCTCCAGCTCTGATGTATGCCAGCATCTTTGGGAATGTGTCAGCCATCATCCAGCGGCTGTATTCGGGGACGGCCCGCTACCACACCCAGATGCTGAGAGTCAGGGAGTTCATCCGCTTCCACCAGATCCCTAACCCACTCAGGCAGAGGCTGGAGGAGTATTTCCAGCACGCCTGGTCCTACACCAACGGCATCGACATGAATGCTGTGAGTACTGATCCTCATGCACCCAAATCTTGTGTGTGTACACCTAGTCTGTTCATGTTAATGAATGAGTGTTGCGCATGAATACACACATGTACACACAGAAGGCTAGAGGAGTATTTTGAGCCTGCGTTGTACGTTAATAGGATGATTGGAAGACTTTGTCTCAGCATGCATGGTCCGACACCCTCAGAGAAAATAGGAATGATGTGAGTATCATAAATAATACACACACACACACATACTCAAACATGTGCAAATAGACGAGTTAAAGTATTTTCAATATGCATGGACCTACATCAGTCTGTTCACATGCTTTAGGGCTAATACACTATTTTCACATACAAGTTGAAACACACAGACACACACACACACAGTGAGTCACACCTGTCAAAGGACACAAACGCACCATGCATGCTAACACACAGGCAGATTGAAGGAGTGCTGCCAACATGCTTGTTGTATACAGTCGACCGCAACCTGAACTCTGTGAGTCACAGTGTATAGGATGGTGCTTCTTACACACACACACACACACACCTACACGCACACACACACACACACACACACACACACACACAGACAAAGGCATAGTCCCAGTCACATCTTCTGTTTCTCTGTACCAGTGTTGAAGGCTTGGACTCAGATGTGTCATTGGACACAAACATGCATGCAACTACAGATGAACATGCACACATAAGAACACAGTTGAGATGTGCTGATGCAAGTAATTAATGCCGTGCATGAGTCAATGTATGTCGTCATTGTTTATAACACATTATATCATTGTGTAGTTTGTATATGTGGATCTGTAAGTGTGCATTTAGCTATTGTTTGACTACTGAAATAGATTCAAAACTATTGGTATTTTTTAAGCTACAATTTTTCATTACTTTGTAAGATGTTTTATAATCTCTGCTCTGTACACTTTACTAAAAATATCTCTCCTCGTAACTTCAGGAAGCCTTTCCAGCATCCAAATACTTTTAAAAATTGCTCATTGGAGCGTAATCAGCGCCTCATTATTGTCTGTGAAGCCCTATAGAAGCATAGAGGAGCCTTGTTTGGGAGCAAAGTCCCAGCCCAAACACAATATTCCATCAGTGAAATCTTGTTTCATTTCAGTGTAATAAGTGAGTCATTGAAGTAGAGAGGAAACAAATTTGACGAGCATCCATGGGAACGTATTTTTCGGTGTTGGCCCCCTCCTCTTCCCTCATTATGCTGCTCTCTTAAAGGCCCAGTGAAGTGCAGTGTAGTGAGCAGACTGGATTAGAGAATGTTTACTGTAATGATTATTTTGATTGTGTGGAGCAGACCCTGTATGTCTGTCTGTCTCCACAATTGATTCAATCAGCTATGGCCTCCTTCATTCATGAGGATGGAGAGAATAATAATGCAGTTCTGATGAGGAACTGAACGCTATTGGAGTGTTGTGATGAGAGCAGGATGAGAGGGGAAATAAATCTGTTGCATCTTTTGCATGTGGACGAGCAGGGCACTGAATTGTTTGCAGCCGGCCTCTAACCTCTGTGTGAATATGTGCAACTTCTGCAGACACTTGCAGAGATCAATAACCAATAAAATGAAAATGTTCTGTTCTTTCCAGAGTATTGTGTTATTGGCTTTGGATACAATAGTACAGCCACAGCCCAGTGTAGCTCTCAGATGTGCTCAGTTCAGTGGAAGCAGAGACAATTAGATACCTACAGAATGATCATGGGAGGATATGGGTTGTTGTTATTGCAGCATCAATCGTAATAAACAGCATTTTTATCTTACTTTTGCTCATCCTTGTTTGTTCTCCTGTCCTCCTTAAAAAATATATTAGTGTCATATGTTTCAACAGTTGACACTTTTTTTTTTATAAGAACATTTTAAAAAACAAACTCTACAACTAAGTGTTAGTGCTACACCTAAGGGTGTAATTTTATATATTTTTTGGATGTTTTCTTTAATAAGCTGTCTCTCAGAACAGTGGCCTCTTACTGTCCAGCCACCATAGTCTAGATGAGAGAGTAAAAATGTTAATACACTCATCTGAGTGTCTAAGTACTTTCACTTTCTCTTAATCTGTGTGACAACAATGAAACAGAAGGAAGTTAAGGACAGTGGTCTTTGTAGGAAAGATGCAATACACAGCATCATTAAGTATCAAGTCTCTATCAAGGAAACTAAACATGATTTCAAGGAGGGTAAGTGCATTAACCATACAGAACTTCTGATTTTTAGAAAGTAGCATTATTACAGAAGACACAACAACCAGTTTTTATCATAATTTGCCATTTTCTAGGTTGATTTAAATGTATATAAATGCAGGATATGTGTGCAGGATACTAACTTCGACTACACCTACATTAGGCAGTTAACTACATATACAGTATAATGCCAGATATACACTCACCTGTGTGTGTTTGGTCACAGCTGTAGAGTGGAGTGAAGTGTCCCAGAGGCCATGGAAACAAAAAGGCCCCAGGGCCCGTGAAAACAGTACTTTACCACGTTAAACAGAGGCTTTTCTCAGCAGAGAAGCTACAGCAACGAATTTAATATATCACGACAGCAAACATTTATATAAACAATAACAGTGTAGTGTAGCCTTGAAAGTCAGCAGTTGAGCATCTGCTAAATGCACCATTAAACTGATACCGCTGGCCTGTAAAATCTGACTTCAGCACATTTTGGGGCTTGTACCTGGCACAAAACCATTGTTGAGTACAGGGAATAATAGTAGGCTATTATTCAAATCTACAGAAGGGAGTTGTTACTATAACTCCCATGGTTCTATGTGTTTGACTGTCTTCAAACCAGACCTTGAAACATTTAAAAAGTTCTTGTGTGTGGTGGGGAAAGTGGTGATGAGCAATGAAGCCAACAACAAGACAGTAACTCTGTTTCTTCTTGTCCCTACAGTGTGTTGTTTGAATGCTGTATGTGCAGAGTTTGACACTAGAAGGATGTTTTCACATTCATCTGCTGAAAGTGGAAAGTTTCTCTGTGCTCATTGAACATGTGATTGTAAGGGGCAGCATGATTTGTGACATCACAAATAGTTGATGGAGATGTCAACCCTGGTCCAGTATGCAACTTGTACAGTGTGATGTAGAAACTTAAAGCGAACAGTGCACATCCACTGAGAATGGACTTTACAGTGAAGTTAGAGACATCTTGAGTCCAGCAGGAAAACTTTAGAAATGAACATTTGCATATTCAGGGTTTCTGGAATTTGTAATGAGGTAGAAGGGAGTAGATGACTTTTTAAGGATTTTAATGTGGAAATTACATAAAAAGTGGAGGGGATCCTTAAGACCAAGATGGGTGGAAAATGTCTAAAGAGAGAAATGGACATTTGCCGACACAGAGATGAAGAAGGAGCCCAGTGAAGGCTGAAATGAGGAAAGTAGCTTTAAACAGATGAAAAAGAGATAAATGGAGAGGAAGAAACACAGTGTGGGTGTTTTTAGGTGCAGTTCTATTCTGTGAAGTCAGCCAGACAGTTACAAGAGGAGCCCCATAGCTTTAAAAGTGCTGGGGCTTCCCATGCTTGCAGCAAACTCATTAAAACTGCACCATTTCTTCATATTAATTACACTCTACAGGCCTGCTGACACTGTTCCGGTAGGCCATCTGAAATACAGTTTGAAATAATTTTGCGGTGAAGCCCTAAAAACCACTGCATAGGGCCTTTTTAAAAGAAGAACTGCTGATGTTTGTCTTCTACTCAGGGGTTAATACCATAAAAACTTAAATTAAAATCATGACTTCTCTGATGGTTAGAACAAATATCAGATAAATGTATAGGCAATTTAGTTTATTCATGTTCATTTGTGGAATGGTGTAATAACAGTAAAAGGCTAATGTCCCATGAGTGTTCACTAGTGGGGATGACGACAATAAAGACAGTAAAGGCTCCACTTTTTATTATTCCTTTTAAAGCGTCCATAATCTTTGACTTTTATGTGCTTTATGAGCTTTATGTTCTGGACACACCGTATCAGTCACTGGCTGCTAATAGCATGTATCAATACCGATGTAACCTTTCTCTATCAATTCATTTGCTTTCTTTATCTCACCTCTTCTTCTTCCTTCTCTTTCCCTTCTTTCCTGCCACACCTTCTCTTTTCACCGTTCACTCTTTCGCCCCACTTGTATCTTTGACTGTTTCTCACCTATCTTCTTTTGTTCTTTATTTCCTCCCCTCCCCTACTTCTTAATCCCTCATTCCTCCCATGTCCTTGTCTCCTCCGTCTCTTCCTCCGCTTCCTTGCTCCCTTGCTCCCTCTCCCTCCCCAGGTGCTGAAAGGTTTCCCAGAGTGTCTCCAGGCGGATATTTGCCTCCATCTGAACCGGACGCTGCTGCAGAACTGTAAGGCTTTTACAGGCTCCACCAAGGGCTGCCTCAGGGCATTGGCCATGAAGTTCAAGACCACCCACGCACCCCCCGGCGACACGCTGGTCCACGCTGGGGACGTCCTCACCGCCCTCTACTTCATATCCAGGGGATCCATAGAGATACTGAGAGGAGACGTGGTGGTAGCCATCTTGGGTACAAAAGATATATATTTATATATACAAAGCTTTCAGTATATGTTTTACTTATCGTATATGTTCCCTTCTCAACCTTTAGGCTTAGAAACTAAATAACATGACAGCATCTGGAGATATACATCTGTTAGTATAAGCAGTTTTGACCCATATTCCACAGCAGCCTGTAGGCCAATCTGGGGCTTCTTCCCAGAGCCCTACAGTAAATAAGGGTAGTTCAGACTGCGTGGATATGACAGTAGTACTGTTACTAATATAACAGTAGTAATAAAAAATTTTCCATTGGTCCATATCCCTGTGTCAATCTAGATTAAAAAAAAGTATGTAGCAGGCCTCTTTTGTGTCCACTTACATTTTTGGGGGGTTAATATGCACAAGATGGTAGTGCCATCTGCTGGTGAGCATTGAGTGTTACTTCTACTAGTTCACTGTAGATTAGAGGATAACACAACATGAAGTTCAGGATGTAAAAGTATCCAACATAACAGACACTGTCTATAATAATTCAAGAGCAGTTGAATTTGTTGTCAGTATGGGCAGAGACAAATACCCTTTCAATGATAGGGTACCTTACACATTTAACAATAAAATATACTCTATATATATAGTCTGATATTTCCGTCAATCTAAAACGCTGTTGCTCTATTGCAGAGTTTCCCAAACTTTTTCATCTAAAGAGCCAAAAGAGAAAGTTGGTGTTTTCCTGGGACCCAAAAAATATGTTTATGAATTGCCGTAACATCTACATTTATAAACTTCTGATAAAGGACTCAACAAACCACGAATTTAAAGTGGATATGAAATCATTATAAAAGTATATCACAGCACTAATCACATTCGCTGAGTGTAATGTTGAGTTTCTCACCACCTCATAACGAGCTTGTGCCGACAGGCACATGAAGTACATCACAATTCCAGAGTGAGACACACTCAACGTTACCTCAATCAGAGAGTGAGAGAAAACACATTTTCAGACCCAGGTTTGTAAAAATAGGGGCGGTGGCACTCACATCTGAGCTCAACCGACCAGCGTAGCAAAAATAGTAGTTACTGGATGTAACTCCAGTTCTCTGAATATATGCCCAGCTCTCTGGTATGCTATGTTACGTAAAATGAATTTACGTATCATGGCATTTTAGCAGTTGATGACCTGATAAAAACGAGGTTGTGACTCTAAATTTGGAAAACACAGCTCCATTGTTTCACCCATAAAGGTTTCCTTTTTTTCACCTCTCCCAGGGAAGAATGACATCTTTGGCGAGCCTATCAACCTGTATTCCCGACCGGGTAAATCCAACGCTGATGTAAGGGCTCTAACCTACTGCGACCTCCACAAGATCTTAAGAGAAGATGTTCTGGAGGTGCTGGACATGTATCCTGAATTCGCAGACAACTTCTGGAACAACCTGGAAATCACCTTCAACCTCCGAGATGTAAGTTTACAAACTTAGGTGTTCTCTGGATTGTTTTATCCAAGCAAATACTTTCCCTTAACTTCTGGACATTTTCAGATTCTAGCACCCCTGCTGTGTTATCTTTTAATAAAAGACTATTTAATGCTGGTCCTCCTTTCAGACCAACATGATCCCAGGCTCTCCAAGCAGCGATGACTCCAACTGTGGGGGATTCAACAAATTACGCAGACGGAAGTTATCGTTCCGAAGACGTACAGAAAAAGGTAGCCCACCCTCTATAGCTCGTACCTTACTTTGACCATTTGTTTTATTGTCATTTAAAAAACCTCCAAATGATCTGACTGTCTGAATGCTTATAGAAACATAGCTTTAGTAAAGTTAATTTGATAATAAAGTTTGTCTATGCCAGACTTTTCCTGATGACCTTGTGTTCATCTTTGAAAAGTTAGTCCCGATACAGCTGGACTGACCAGTCTGCCTCTTTTTTAATCTTTCCATGCACACCTACTTCTGTCCAGATGATGCAGATGCTGGCGAAATTAAAAAATCCCATAAGTCTGTGAGACGAAGACAGAGGGAAGCAACCAACAACCAAAAACAGGAGAAGGCAACTAAGCATCAGTGGGAGGCACATCGAAGCTCAGTGTCCTCAAACTCCAGTGGTGATGAGGTATAAGTAATTTTCATCATGACTAACTGACTAATAGTTATTGTTTTGTCATAGGCCATGGCGCAGTAAAAACTGGTGTTAATGTCTTCACCTCTTACAGGGGGAGGAGTCAGTTGTGACCAGACTCGCCCCTCCACCGGTGATGGTGGAGAGCCCACAGGCTCAGGTCAAGCCCATGAGCTTCAACGAGAACACTGAGGGTGACGGAGATCCCAAGACTGGGAACACGTGTAACGCCCTGTCAGGTAAAACAAAACAGAAGAGCGTCCCAAGATCTGTACTGTAATGCCTGCCCAGTGTCTCCAGCAAACACACACGCTCCCCCTCCACCTGTCTTCTTCTCCTACAGGTGCATTCTCAGGTGTGTCCAACATCTTTAGTTTCTGGGGGGAGAGTCGGGGCGGCGGTCAGTACCAGGAGGTTCCCAGCTGCAGCCTGGCCTCCCCACCGACACTCAACGCACCGCTGCACAGCCTGAGCCGACAGCAACGCAACCAGCTGGACACTCGCCTGGACCTGCTGCAGAAACAGCTCAACAGGTACGGCCGGTTGGATGTCTGGGTGTTCTGGTTTGCGTGCATCTGTTGCTGTTGCTGCTCTTCTGTGTTCTTTTTCATATCAAACAGTTGTTGAAGAAAGACAATGCTGAAGTCCCGGCAAACATCTGACACTTTGAGTCATCTGACACTTTAAGAGCTTTTCTTTTACCTGGCTGCCTCTGAAGGAAGCCTCTTCTTTCCAGCGCAGTGAAAAAAAAGCGAGATTTTCCGTCCCTGTAGCCTTTAGCTGGATGAGGCTCCTTTGTCAGGTCTTGTTGAGATCACAGGCTGCGTGTCTTTGTGCTGGCTCATAGCTCTGAGGCTGGCTACGCCTCCAGCTGAATGCTCAGTTTTAAACGCATGATTGACTGGATGCCTCTGTTGGATAGAATGTGTCAGCAGGCTAAAGGTGTATGTGAGCGAAACGGGATTGGGGGCAGTAGTGTGTAAGGAGTGAACTCATCCCACAAGTACTGCAAATATCTGCACATATGGTAAAGTCTCTGTTGGACCTCAGAAAGTTGAACAGAGCCAGGAAAATAAGCAGAATGAGTCCTAATTAGCTCTATGTGAGCCTCAGATAAGACCCAGCTGGTTTTATGGTAAAGCTTCCACCTCCTGTATGTGTGTAGCACACACACACACACACACATCTTTTTCAGTGTGACTATGGGCCAAGATTATATTTTACTAAGAAAAAATAAAACTTTGTTGACTCCTGTGGGGAAAATGGATTGTTCCAGCTGCAACAATAACAGAATAACAGCAGGCTGGAAAAGAAAAATGCAGTATAAGCAAAACAGAGTTCAGAAAAGTAGAATAATTAGAATGGAAAGTTTATATGAGAAGTGGAGGGTAGACTAAATATTAAGAATTGTCTTATTTTCATAGTTTTGGACACCATACCTGCTAGTGATGAAATTTACATAGGGATGACACAATACCAATACCAGTGAAATTTCACGTTTCTCGATACACAATTCAATACCACAGTAAAAAAAAACAAAAAAATAAGTACATACACTCCTTTGTTCAAAACTTTTGAACATTACAAATAACTATTTTTATCATCTTCCACTTGTTGTTCTTCCTCTAACAGCAGACTAAAATACATAGGTGTAGGTGCGTATGCTGACCCTGTCAGGTCTGAAAGAATTGCATCCCCAGTACCTAGAGTACTGTAGAAAAACAAATACCATCACGTTTTCAGAACTTTGGCATCGTTCTTAAGACATCCCTAGATATAACACACCAACTTCTGGGGGGGCTGGGAACATGGTGACTTAGAACTACAAGCAGTCTGTCTGTTAAATTTCCGTTACATTGTACAATTTTCCTGGTACTTACCATAGTACCTCTCCCACACAGGTTTCTTCGCAATGAACAATCATCAATCAGACGTTTCTGTTCCCAAATTTTGGCAATTAATCAATAACTGATAATAACAATGGACAAAATTAGACCTAGGAGGAAAGAAAGACATTTCCTTTAAATTGGAGTATTAAATGTCCTATATAATATCAGCAGAAAACACAGTTTTAATGTCTTGATCACCTACTACACACTGTGTGCAGGTTGGAGAGTCGCATGTCGACAGACATCGGAGCAATCATGCAGCTGCTGCAGAGACAGATGGCCCTGGTTCCTCCTGCCTACAGCGCCGTTTCATCACCACCTCAGGTAAAAACACACACACACACACACACACACACACACACACACACACACACAGGGTATTACGTAGGAGCTTGTTGTCACAAGGGGTTGTAACAGCAAGCATCTGTCTTTGAACAAGAATAAGTCACCCTAACAACAGGAGGCAGGATGAAAGACAGCTTTCCATTATTGTTGGCTACACTTCATGCAGACAAATAAGATGTTGTCTCTTACAGGCCTCACCCTACCCTGCTCCCAGCCCAGGACCAGGCCCAGAGGAGAGACTGGTCCAGCCTATTACACCTCTGGAGACAGACACCCTGGCCTCCCTATCACAGGTGAACTACATGTAGTAACAAAATGATTGCAGTCCTGAATGATATGAATACATTTGACTGTGTTCTGTGGAGCTACGTGTTTGAATGCTGTCATTGGTCTCCAGTTAATATCAAACACTGAAACCCACAAAGCACTGGGTTAATGAATGGTGCTAAAATTTGAAATATGACTTTGTGAGGAGTAAGAGGAAAAAGAGTTGTAGCAGCCAGTCCCATTGACCTCTCAGTTCCTTTCCCTGCAGATCTTGGATTCCCAGGACTTTGAGGAGTTCCCAGCCAAGCCTCTTGACTCCCTGCAGCCCCAGGACTTCACACTGATCAACAGCGGCCAGGGCCAGCTTGCCCCCTCTGGACTAGACAGCCTGGGGCAACATCTGGGGCTGGAGCTGGGCCTGGGGACTGGGCCTGGTGTCATTTCAGGGCCAGCAGTGGGTTCAGGTTTAGGGTTAGATTTAGGGAGCGGGACAGCAGTGGGGTCTGGCGTAGGAGCAGGGTTAGACTTTGGTTCAGGGGTGTGTATGGGGGCTGGGGCTGGGCCAGGGGCCGGAACAGGGGTATCATCCCTGGACCCTGAAACCCAAAGGAGACGGTCCCTCCAAGAACCACAAACACCTCTGGACTCACGGACACCACAGAGACACGGCTCCGACCCAGGGGGGAGCTAAGGAAAAGCTGAAGGTGGAGGAAAGTGGGATGGAAGGAGGGATACAGAGAGAGAATGAGAGTGATCCTGCTTTCCCTCATGGCACTTACTGTACCTACTACCAAAATCCTTTGGGGAACCCAGCTACTGTATCTTTCACCTTTGACCTCTCAAGAAAGGACACACAGCTCAGAGAGAGTGACGCCAGGCCTCTCTCTGTCTCTCTCTTCCACAAGTCCCCCCCCCCCTCCTCATGAAACATCTGGAGCTTTCTGAACTCCACAACAGTACAACCTTTAACCAAAACCACAAACAGAGCGGAGAGGAGCTCTGCCTCTAAATGAACACATTCCAGGTCAACCCTGACTGATCTGGTCTGCCTCTCAGTCATCTGCTGAGGATGACACATCTTCACACACACTTAAGTGACTGCTAACCTGTAGAAGAATCCCTTTACTGCTGTATCCAGTGTTGGATGACTGACGAGAACAAGAAAAAACAACAACGGACAGAATAATGACGAAACAAGTAGCCATTTACGTCTTGCACTGAAAATCCTATTGATATAATGATTATTCTATTCTCTATGTCCGTGGCGCTTCCGATAAACTCACAAACTGGTTGGTGAAGTGTAGTGTTAGCTGGCCTAACAGGAAACCTGCCGTTCTGTTATTGGTTCCCTCCCCCTGATGCCCCGCCCTGACAGGCGGAGCTGAGGCTCCCCCCTTCCCAAGAGCACACTGGATTGGCTGGTTTGCACCTCAGGGGTGGGAACTGGAGGGTTAAAAGCCATGAATTTTCTCGATGAACATATCAGCTGCCCTATCATAAACATTGTACAGATTTGCTAGTGAGTGAAGAACATATGGCATGCTCAGGCAGCGTCGCAAACAGGTAAACTGGCAAACTTACAAGTGTACCACGAGAACAGTGCACCAAAACAGCAAACTATAAAAATTTAAAGAAGCAGGAAACCCCAGCGTACTAATTCCACGAGCTATGAGTTGTGACCTTACAGGGAAACAGAGAAGTTGTGTGTGATTATCAAAGTGATAAGGTCTGCTTTGATTTCAAAAGAAAAAAAAAAAAGCTTGAGTGATTCTAGTTTATCATAGTTGAATTTGCTACCTCAGATTTTATTGGTTCTTACTTTTTTCACCTGAGCAAGCACCCACAATGCTTTTACCTTGTACATAGCAGTTTGTCGTGTGATACGTAAATATACAAGTTTGCCAGTTTACAGTGACCAGCCGAATGCGCCATTATTCTATGTACGGTATAATATGCAAACACTGGCGAGAAGAGATGAGTGAGTGCGCTTTAATCTTATTATGTGTGTGATAAGTTCAGGTCCAAAGCTTTTACTGCGTGTGTTTGTCCTTGTGTTTTTTTTTTTTTGGGGGGGGGTTGTCTTTCAGGCTGCAGAGCATGGCGTTCGGTACGTTTGCTTCCACACACTGTAGAGGATCACTGGATTCTAATGTTTAGGACAAATTTGTTTTCTTGGCCCCAAAAAGTGATTTTAATGACTTGTTTAAACAGGCAAATGACAGATTCAGTGTTTGTGTTTTGAATCTAGACAGCACAAATAAAAAACCTGTACAATGTAGGTTTTAGTATACTAAGGAGGTCATCCAAGAATTTTCACTACTCCAGCAGTGATCCCTGGAAGAAGAAACTGTACTCGAGCACCAATCTTTTTGGTAAAACTTTGGTTATAAGAAGTGTTAATTTAAGCTAATTACCTCCCATTTTGAAGTCCCTAGATACACATCTGATCCTTGTCATGTCATGTTAGCAGACCACCAACACACTAACACAGATTCTCTGAGGTATAACGATGCACAGATGGTGAGTACTTCACCAGCCTAGTTAAAGAAAGTAGAGTGTACAAGGGATTTTTGAAACTGTTAACGTCTTTGGTCCAGGCCTCCACTTTCATCTTCCTACATGATATGATATCACTTCAGTGGACGGTTGGTCTTCATCAGAGCAGTGCAACACCTCACCAGCATGTCAAGGAAATGGCAACTTAATATAGTGAATGATATGATTTCCTTTGTTCATGAATGTTCTTTGGACTTCAGTCATACTGTAGGTGGTCAGTGAGCAGGATGAAGAACATAAAAGTGTTTTTAATTAAATAGTATCAACAGAAAGGTATTCCTTGCATACTAAGAATTACTGTACAGGAGTGGTTCTCAACCTGGGGGTCAGGACCCTCACTTGGGGTCGCCAGCGCTTCACAGGGTGTCGGGAGGCCTTCTTGTGTTTAAGGCGTGTAAGAAAATTTTTTTTTTTGTTCACTTCTGTGAAAAACAGTCAATTAAATTGCCTAATCAAACAGTGGCCAGGTGGCAGGGACAAGAAAACATTGAATTTGTCAAAAAAGAAGCCTGTTTATTATGTATGATTGTTAAAAAATTATGATAAAAACAAAGCAAAAAACACAATACAGACAGATAAGTGTATAAAAATCCCTGAAGAAAGTTTTACATAAACTTCCTGCAGTTAACAGTTTGGGTTCATCGTACAGTTTTGAATATAATATGAAATATCCATAAAATATGTCACTGAGTCAGGGGTCCTCAGTTTATTAAATTCCACAAGTAGAGACGAGAAGAGAGCCACTACTGTACAGTATAAGGAAAAAGGTCCCAGAACTAAGTTTTCTAATCATGTTTGAAAGTAAATCAGTCAGAAGTTTAACACTTGGCGCAGTGCATGTCCATCTCATACAGAGAACATACACCCTTTTTAAATCTAAATAACCATCATCTATAAATGGAACAAACAGCAGTGGAGATGAACATGGTGTAAGGGCGGAGTCCAGGTACCTCAGGGCCAGCAGAGATGTATGAAATAATAAGAGTAGGTGCTCTACCCCCTTACAGTGGAACTAATTCTTCCATATTTATCAGTTTTGAGTTGCCAAGATGAAGGAAAATACAAACCTGACATCTTCAAATTGTCTTCCCTGATACAAAATTACACGGACAGACCCTTTCCTGTACCCCACGATGAGGAGTTTACCAGAGGAGGGAAAGCCTGTTGAAGTGCAATAGTCCTTTAAACAGTTAAGACTTGTAGCAGCTTAACTGCATCCGTTCATTCTCAGCACTTTATTCCTTAAACAGTGCAGATGTTTAATGAAGACTCAGGAACGTGTCATTGATGTTCGACGGTTCATTTTCCTTTGTCTCCCAACTCGAAACCAACCAATCAGAAGGAAGGAACGTTGCGTTTCATGCCTGACATGTACAGTAGTAACATCCAGAAGTTTAACTCTGGCCCCGTTAATGCAGAATTGTGAAGATTGTATAATGCGGCTTGCTGGTCGAAGCTATTGTATTTATTTGTTGTTGTAGGATTATTATTATTATTATTATTATTATTTGTCTGTGGATTGTACCTACTATGATTTATCACTTGTCTCGGGTTAAGAACAGCTCATTTGGTGGAGAAAGAAGTGAAGGCGTTCTATGTAAACTTGTCTTCATAATTTATGCTCACGCAACCATTCTCACTATTTATTCAATATTTATGGGTGTACTTACTATCATTATTAATATTTCCAAACTGTATACAAACGCACACATAGCCACATTCAGTACGTTTGCACAGTTGTCAGAGTCTTTGCCTGTGCAGTAATCGGCTAAACGCCCACAGCTGATGTCACAGTCGGAGGTGCCCTTTAGTATTCAGCCAAAGCAAGTGAACGCTGTAACAGATGATCATTGGTGACATTTTAACCGGCCTGTAATTCAGCTGAAGGTTTGACTTAAAGGACCAGTGTGTACGATTCAGTGACATCTAGCCGTGAAGACTGCAACCTCACAACATATCATAATACAACATGTTCAACATGAAATACAAAAATGCACAATAAAACAGAAGTACAACTACTCAAACACATTGGCCTCTTACAAAAAACTACCACATGCCTCCGTCACCACATTCTTTAAGGCTACATTCACACTGCAGGCCAAAGTGACCCAAATGTTTTGCTCATATGTGACTCAGATCTGATTTCTTCCATGACAGTGGGATATAAGGTCTGATTGTTTGCAGTGTGACCTCGATATATGTTCGTCATGTGGGTCACTTGAGGAATCTGATATTGGCCACATTTTAAAAATGATGTGAACAGCCAAACAAAACAATCTGAATTGAGCGTTCAGGCTTTCAGGCAGTGTGAACGTAGCCTATGATGCCCTTAAATTCATCAGTGGATATAAATGTGTCTAATTTGCACAGCCTGTAGGAGAAACTACGGTGGCTGCAGAACTCGCAAAAAACATGAAAGGCGCTATCTGCAGCCAGTGTTTGGTTTGTCCGTTCTGGGCTTCTGTAGAAACATGGTGGACTCCACAGAAGAGGACCCGCTCCCTCTGTAGATAAAAACGGCTTGTTCTAAGGTAACACGATTCCTATATTCAGGTGATTACACACTAATGAAAACATATCTATGAATATTATATTCCATTTCTGCCAATAGATCCTCCTGAATGTTACACACTGGACCTTTAAATGAATGCAGCTGGATTATCTGATTTTAAAGTTTAACCAAGGATATTTTTACCGTGACATAAAACAAATTTTTTTTTGGGCTGTGATCAGGACAGTTTGGAAAACTTGAACCCAGAGAATTACTGTAAAGGTGAGGCTGGTTTGTGCTTCTAGATACTTCCAGATGAATGCAAATCTCAATGTTTCAACAACAGCTTGGTACAAAGTTGCTAGAATCCCCTTGAATGTGAGTGAATGCATCACAGACACCCAATGCTGATAAGCTGACACTGACCAAATCTACTGAGTTCCTCTTACTACTGAACCCGATCTGCTTCTTGTTGTGTTTCATTCACCATCAGTTAGTTCTCACCAGCAGTCCCTGCCTGTGGTCACCAGGATAACAAATCACACTCTCACTACAAACACCCACTAACCACCCAGTCAGTCAGTCTGTTTGGTTTACAGTGCTGAGGTTTTCAGAAGTGGGCTCTCCATCTCACACACTGTAGCGAGAGTGTTAATGTTCAATAACAGTCACCTAGTGGCCTGAACTGTATCTTTACATTCAGAACTATGACCTCAAAACTAGAATGTGGTTGTTGTCGACTTCTTCTTCTTCTTCTTCTTCTTCTTTGACCTTGTATGTGACGGTAGACCTTAGTGGAATATTCCATGCTAGAGAATACATTTATGTAATGCATACTGCATATTATAACAGTAGAGGGTGCACTTTGAAAAAACAAAACAAAAACAAAAAAAAAACATGGGGGACTGGGGGAATGAGTGTGTTTGTTTGTGGGTGGGGGGGAGGGGGGTGTTTAAGGAGGTTAGAGTGTTTTCCCCCTTTGCATTTGAACACACATATACAGACATAAACACTAAGCTTACACACACACACACAAACACACGCCTTCCTTAATGGCTCTTCCATACTGCTGAGCTTTTTTCAGCTCTGTTCAACTTTCTAAGAGTTCCCGACAGACTTGGGTCCTGTATTTGTAGATATTTTGAGCACTTGGGGAGGGGGGGTTTGGTACCGTTTACACAACACTGGATCTGCTCTGTCACTCCTTGCCTGTACATACCAACTTCTACTACTTGTAAAGGAATCAAACTCTTTGGCACTCGTATAGCCAGCACTATGCAGAAACTGAAAAATGTCTTTGGCATGCTTTGAAATGCAGAATACTATAGAGGAAAATATACTAAATAAATAAAGTCTGCTCTAATTTCTTATGGAGATAATCACCTTATTGGAAAAAAAAAAAAAAAGATGCGGATAAGGCTGTCCATCCATGGTAAAAATGGATATGATGATGAGGGTGATGAAGCTGAAGACTTTTAATATTGTGCACATTTTTACTTGCATGCTGCGCTGAAAATCATCCAGCAATGAGAGGGTTTGACGTGCAAAGCAGCTGATTTTTGCTGTATGCTTGCAAACTGTGTGTAGAGTGAAACACTGAATTCTTCTGGGTTACGGGAGAGTCATATTTATATATACATATATATACATACTACTTCCAGGTCATGGAAGAGAGGGGTACTGAATAGCTGCAAATATAGTGATCCTAGATGATACAATATTATATTGTATATTTGTATCTTTGGTTGCAAACCACTGTAACGGAGTGATGCATGTGTGGCAGTCCTGGGCAGAACTGTTCCCAAATTGCAAGGAGCGCTTGATTTTCCTTGTCTGGGCCGCGTTTCCACTCCTGCCTGGAAAGTTAAATCAAGTGCACCTAAAATATTACAACTCCTGCTGGGACTCACTGAAGACTGACTGTTCTCCGAGTGCAGTTTTGGAATCTTACCTTCTTTTCAGTGCATGAGGTGTTAAAATGTGTTAGCAATAGCATATCTTTAACACACAATGTGCTGAAATGTTCTGAGTTGTGTGATGTCCCAAGACACTCACAGATGTTTAGAAAATGACTCATCTTTTTACTAGTGTAGACTCTATGGCGGCCCCTGGAGTTCACTACAGTTGTACTATAATATTGGGCTGGCCAGTAGAGTGCTCATAATACATTATTCATATCAAATGTTGAAGAGAGTCGGAGGGGGAAATGGGGAAGCTCCAGGTTCTGATTGTGTGATAGCATTATCAATGGTTGAACTTTATAAAATTTCAAAATATTTCTTTCAATAAACCTCTTTGAAAGCAAAACCCTGATGTCAGGACTGATCCTTATGACTTCTAGTGAAACCTTTGCCTTTATTAACCTCTCTGCTCAGTGAACAACTGGACTGTGTTTTTTTTTGTCTTTCCATATTTTAGTCCTAAAGAACACTCTGCTCTCCTGAGAGAAACCATTTTTTAAATGAGAAAAAGCCCAGTCTCACTGTGTCATGAATGCATATCGGGCTTTTAAAATTCATACAATGACCACATTGAACAATTAATCCTTACACAATATCTCCAGTAACTTCCTTCTTCACCTTCCATATAGCTGAAGAAATATGAACATAAATCCTCCACATGGAAACTCTCAAACAGTCGTTCCGCAGCAGAAACACTTTCCGGTTTCTTGTGAACGCATTAGAAACATTCTGATGCGTTCGCATTTGAAGGACCCCCTTCCACCCACCTCACCCCTGCAGTCGTATCCCTGGAAGGGTTCTGCAGGTTAACCTGCTGCTGGTTGAACATATTGAGTATTAACTTTATTTAAATATTCAATTTACAAATGATGTCAAACACTAACACATAACACAATACATATGAGCTGTTTCACAGATACAAAAAAATAGAATAAATACATTTACAAAATACATTCCTGAGAACTCATAAGGTAGAACCTAAATAATAAAAAACAAAATAAATAAACACTAATAGCTAATACAATATCATTATATCAACACATAAATGTATTTAACAATCTCTGCAATCATAAATTCCATTAAATGCCAAAGGGTACATCAAATATATTTTCATAGTTATCTAAAAATTGTGTATTCTTTTTGTTTTTAACCAGAGCTAAGGATTTATAAAGTGAGTTAAATTCAATCAAAAAATGAGGAAAGGTTGGCTTGGAGGCTGAACATTTTTGCTTATGAATAAAATATTTTCCCAATAAAATGAAAAAATTAACCAAATACTGAAGACACTTGTTCTTCTTATTTTCATAATAACAAATAACATCTTTTAGGGAAAAACAGAACAACATGTTAACACGGGTGAAGACATGAGAACACAAGTCTGACCAAAATTGCATTGTGACATTACATTCAAAAAACAAATGGTTTAAAGTTTCATCAGCATGCCCACAAAAACACAAGAGCTGTCCACATCCATCAATTTTGAAATGAAAGAATTAACAGGATATATTTTGTGAAGAATTTTGAAATGAGTTTCTTTTACTTTGTTATGAATACAGTATTTGTGAGGTAAGAGCCATGCTTTTTCCCAGTCTATGTCCTCTAAATGAGAGCGCCAATAACATTTTCCTCGTGGAGAAAACCTCTTTTTATCTTGAAAGATTTTCCTTATATGTTTATTGTTACATTTCTTGTCTTGTATGTTGATACCATTCAAAAGTAAAACAGATGTGCCCTCTGGTCTAATTCCTTCACAGAAGGATAGGTGACTTTTCATTAAATTAAGTAAGCCAGAGGGGATTGCTTTTATCACCGAGTTGTATTCTTTGAAAGGAATAGGAAAATTATGAGGAGATATAAAGCTCTCATAGGAAGTGATTGCTGATCAAATCTAGACAGTGTGACTGGAAGCTTGTCAGGTGAGTAATTGCAGGTAAAAACGAAAGCAAGCCCACCAATTTTTTCAAAATTATGATTGGGGATGAAGAACCACAATCAATTTTGATGTGTCAAACATCTTTTTAACCAATTGATTTTAAAAGTATTTATAATATCAATGAAATTAAGCACTTCAAGACCACCTTCCGCTCTGCTGTTAGATAGAACTGCATTTTTAAGTTTGGGTGTTTTATTTCTCCAGATGAAGTTCAGAAATAGCTTGTTAATTTCTTTAGCAGTGGCATCATTCACAAAGAGAGAAAGAGATGGATAAACAAAATGAGAGACACCGTCAGCTTTCGACAAAAGGACCCTGCCGTATAATGTTAAGTCTCTCTGAAGCCAAAGGTTAAAAATATCTCTAGCTTTTTTAATTCTTCCAGAAAAGTTCAGTTGTTGCCTTGCTATTAAAGTTTTTGTTATATGAATGCCCAAATACTTGACTGTGGTTTTTACTGGGATATTATCTATGAAAGTATCGTCACAATTGTGTATGGGTAATAATTCACATTTAGATACATTGAGTTTCAAGCCTGATGCTAATGAAAACTGTTTAACTAGATCAATAGCTTTGACCAACTGTTCTTTGTCTTTCAGGAAGAGGGTTGTATCGTCTGCCAGTTGAGAAATTCTTATTTCTCTATTAAATATAGAGATGCCTTTGAAATCTGTATCATGTATTATATTTAATGACAATAATTCAACGACTAAAATAAATAGAAAAGGTGAAATCGGACATCCTTGCCTAACACCACGCTTTATATCAGATCTATGAGAGGTGCTGTAGTTGATAATCACTGAGCTATTAATTCCTTTATAAAACATTTCAATAGTATCTATAAATTGATTCCCAAAACCAAACAATTTAAGACATTCTGTAAGAAACTTATGTTCAATAGTGTCGAAAGCTTTGTAAAAGTCTAAAAAGAGAATGAACGCTTCTGAGTGTACAGAATCAGATATTAATTTTTGATCCGTCCATTTTCTACCATTAATATTAAGCATACTTAGTGACTTTCTTTGACCGTTTCTTTTCTCCAAAGCAAAAAAATAGCTGGAGTTTGATTCCCCCTCTTCCAGCCACTTGTCTCTAGATCTCACAAATGCAACCCCTGGCTAACTCAATATAAATCTGATCTATTTTTAACTGTATCTCCTTTACTTCTAACTCCTCTTCAGAAGATAAGTCGGGTTTAGATAAGAGGAAACCAATTCTGCTCAGTAATTCAGCTTCTGTTCTATTTTTGAAGGCTTTTAACTCTTTACTTCTCTTTACAGCAATACTTCTTGTCATAAACTTAAAGTACTCCCATTTTTGTGTATATTCATTGTCCGCAATTTCATAAAAAAATTCACTGGCTAGACATTTTATACTATCATTAAAGCAATTGTCTTTAAGAAGGGCATTATTAAATTTCCAGTATCCTCGTAACTTAGTCGTACTCTGTGAGCCCCCTAATTTCAGAGTGATTTTCTTATGATCTGACAATGGAGCAAAAGAATGGGAGACATCTTTCACATACTGAAGTGCAGAGGAAGAAACCAAAAAAAGGTCCATCCTGGATCTAGATGCAAGGTTACTCTTAGACCATGTAAAATCTTGTATATCTGGGTTAAAAAAAACGCCATGTATCGGTCAGGGAGAGATCCGAGCAAAGTTCCGAAACAATATTATTGTTCAGAAAAGATTGACACAGTTTTGGGGGGCATCTATCTATTGCATCATCAGGACACTCATTAAAGTCGCCACCTAAAATTACGTAAGAGTTTGGATATTTGTGTGATAGCTCATTTATTTTTGAGGTTATCTGACTAAAAAGTACCTTATTGGACGAGTGAGAATTATGCCCATAAATATTACATACTATGAAATTTTAATTTTCATGCTTGAAAATTATGAGAATCCATCTACCATCCTGTGAAGACACCACCTCTAAGATTTCCCCTTTAAATTTATGCAAAAAAATTGAGACTCCGGCAGAACGGTTAGTACCATGACTACAGTAAATCTTATTTCCCCACTGCCCTTTCCAGAACTTTACATCTGACTCACCTGAATGTGTGTCTTGTAAAAATATTAAGTCAGCCTCACTATTTTTACAGAATAGAAAAGTGGCTTTTCTTTTCAACAAATCGTGTATACCTCTGACATTCAATGACATAACCGTTAGAGAATCAAACTTAAAATCCATCAAAAATAAAAGGATAAAATAATGAAGTAGCTCTCACAAATAAATAACAAGAACTTTGAAGTGTGTTTTAGATTCCTTAAACGAGGAAGTGATAGACAGTCAAAATAATTTGTGACTATAGAAAAATATAGTGTTGGTACCATAAACAGTTTAAATTGATTTAAATCGATAATTATCAAACACATTGGGTTAAATCCAGAATATTGCCGTTTAAACAGAACACATTTTCTGTAATTGTAAATTATATAAACTAAATATGATGAATGTTTTGCTGCTCAAAAATACTATTGCTCTAATAGTTAAACAACGTTGCAATGCAAGTTATGAGCGAATAATGAATTTATAAAAGAGAAAAAAGAAAGAATAATACATTTTGATTATATTGTTTAGGTTCATTTATCTCCCTTACCCCTTGGAACAAATAATATCCAAGTAATGTAACTGCTGGTGTCTTTAACAACGACTTTCTTCCACAATACCAGGTGTCTCTTAATATCACAATTTGGAAACATAGAAATTTTCATCTGTCACCTCCAAAAGTTAATAGTTCTTAGTAACGAGTCTATGCAGTTATGTCCTCCCTGGAGATGTGAAATGATTGGAAACAGCCTTCTTCATTAGTCATCATCGAAAGTTAATAGTTCATAGTCAATAAGTTTATGCACAGTTCTTTATAAACACCCTGGAGATGTGCAGTGTGTAGGAAGCTTACCAAACTGTATGACTCTTGTCTTCATTTGTCTGAGGAAAGGGCTTCAATCAATGTCCAAACGGTCAATCCTCTCCCCCTCTATCAGAGCATAAGGTCCTAGGAAGGACGCCTTTTTACCTTCCCTCCTTGCTTTTTCCACAAGGGGCCAAAGTTTTCCTCTAGCCACTCGATCCTCCGGGGAAAGTGCCTCGGAGAGACGCAGAAACCGGCAGCCCTTGGCACTCTCCCAAACAGCATCACGGATACGGCGCAGCGCGAAGAGGATGATTAGGGACCGGTGGGATCCGTCCTTTCTCTTCGGACCAAGGCGATGCGCAATGTCGATACCCTCCTGTAGATATTCATGAAGTCCCGGGGCAACTTTTCCCAGGATATTAATCACCACTGCTCTCACGTCTTCGTTCATCTCCTCTCTTACTCCGTGTAGTTTCAGTGTCCATCTGTAACTGTAGCGCTTGTTTTCAGTAACTCCTGCTCTCAGAATCCGGTTCTCTTTTTTCAGTTGTT